CGGCGAGCGTGGGTCCTTGACGCGGGGCTCGGGAGCGCGCAGCAGCACAGCGTGCGTCACCGGGGGCCGAGGCAGGCGAGTCTTCTCCAGGAGGTCCCTACGGGGATAGCCAGGTCGCTGTTGGCTGAGGTCCCTGCTCACTCAGCCTGGCCGTTGGCACTTGCATGTGGGCCCCTTCGGCACCTAGGTCCCCTTTCGTGCCAGCGCTGTCCCTCAGCAAGCAGGCCACAGGGCGGGCACAGCTATCCAAGTGACGGGCACCCCGGTCTGCGGGAACTTTCCTCACCCTCCCCAGGCCTGAGCTCGGCCTGTGCCTTGGGACACAGCACACGTGTGCGCCCCTCTCCTCTCCCCGGACCTTCCATAGTGACTGACGGCTGCCGTGGACCGGATTGGGATTGGGGTCTGTGCCGCCTCCCTCGCTCTGACCCACCCCACCCCACCGGCCAGGCGGACCCACGCTGGCCCTGCCTGTTCACTTGGAGGGCAAGCGCCTGTCCCGCCACCCTCCCTCACTCGCGCTGGCCATGTGAGTTCGGGATTCAGGAAGCAGGCGCAGAGGATGTGGGTGAGCCTGAGGTCGCACCTCATCCAAGAAGGCCACACAGACCAAGGGGACTTGGGGATCAGCGGTGGGGATGCTTGCTCAGCCCCAGGGTGCAGCCCAGCCCCCATTTGCTTCCCAAGCTGGTGGGAGCGGGGTTGCAGGCCCGAGCTGCCCCCAGCGCCCTGCACCTCAAGCCGAAGCCACCTGCCCACTGCTCGAGTGTGGTGTCTTCCCACCTTCACCCTGCTCCAGAGATGTGCTCACGTAGAGCACCGGGACCTAGGAGGGTCCATCAAGCAGGGGCAAAGTGCGAAGAAAAGAGGGCAAGGCAAGGGGTGGGGCGGGACGTCCACTCACCGCTCCCGCTCCTCCAGGCCGGGCTCCAGCTCCCTGGGCTCTCGCGCATGGCTGTTCAGCGCATCCGCAGGGTTGGGCCATGGGGGTGGCGTGGGGAAGGAGGGCGGTACCCGGTGCAGCCGGCTCCACGCCTCATGCGGGCTGGGCAGGCCGTGCAACGTGGAACCCTCCTTGGGGGCGAAGATGCTGCCCCCTGGAGCTGCTGAGGGGGTATATGTTAGCAGGCGGGCCTCCCGAACCTGCCCTGCCCAGGAACCCTTCCAGGAGGTCACTCACCCAGCGCGTGGCTCCCCAGCCCTCCAAAGGCATGGCTGCCCAGGCTGCCCAGGCCCCCAAAGGTGCCTGATCTGCTGAAAGGGTCTGTAGGAAGCGGGGGTCAGGGGTCTGCAGCCAGGCTAGGAGGTATACCGACCCTGGCTGACTCCACCCCTTCTCACCCTTGGGGCACCTACCTGTGAGGTGAGCAGCAGGCAGGAAGCTGCCGTGATGGGCAGAGGGCCCGAACGAGTGGGCGGCAGGGTGGATGGCACCTGGGGGAGGCAACCAGGTTGGCAGAGGCCTGGAGAGCCCCTGGGTGTTCTGTCTGCAGCACCCTGGGGAGCTCTGCCTTCCCCCTCCCTCTGCTGCAGTTGAGGGTGTTCAGCAGGGCAAAGCAGAAGCTGGAAGATGTGTGATCTGGGGCTGCAGCCACAGCCACAGCTTCCCTGGGGCCCCAAGAGACAGGGGCATGGTGCTGATGGCAGGGAGACTCCAGAGGAAAGAAAAGGCTGAGGGATCTGGCCATTTCTGAAGCCATCGCCCAAGTCTTAAACCATTAGAACTACTTAGGGCAGGAGCTGGGTCTTGGTCAACACTAGTCTGTATCTTGGGTACAGAACACACAGCCCTCCACATGGATTCCCTGGACACAGCGCCCGGCGCAGGAGAGTAACCTTGGCATCTGTTCTGTACCCCAACAACCCATCAGGTCTCTGGAACGAAATGTGGAGAACCACTGTGGGATACCGGGCTGAGGAGGGATGCAGAGGGCGAACCCAGTGCTGCAGCTGGTCAGGGGTCAGGCCAGGTGTGTGGCACATGGCATCCTAAAAGGGAGAACCCTCAACACGGGTTGGGGCAATATTCAGACCTTGTACTCTGCACGGGAACCCCATCGTGAAAGCCACCCCACTGGAGCCAACCAACTGGACAAAATGACGGCGCCTCGAAGCACAGTCCAGTGATTCCAAGACCTAAGGCACAAGGCAGGCCCTTGGACTCTGGGTTCTGGGAACTCAGATTCTGGGTTCTGGGTGTTTCGTAGCCAGCCCATAATGGAGGGGCATGCTAGGCTCAGAGTCACACCTCCCACCTGCCTCTGGGCCACAGGCTGTGCTCCCCATCACTGACTGCTCCGTGTCCTCTCATTCTGGGGACAGGGCTGGGGGTCACCTGCCCAGGGTCTTCATTCATCTGAGAAAGAACAAGACTGGGGCAGAGGCCTCAGTGGCAGCATCCTGCCCTGGGTGGGAACAGGACACAGGATACTCTGTGACTCTCTGGCTTTGAGGAAGTACCTTGGCCAGGTGGAGATATAGATATAAGGACCCCAGCCACCTGGCTCTTACCTGTGCTGGAGAAGAGGGGCCGGGCCAGATCCTGTGGGTAGTGGAACCCCGAGAACACACCTGGGGCAGGGGGCCTGCTGAACAGGTCTAGCTTTGTGCCCACCTCCAGCTTGTGGGGGTCCAGTTGCAGCTGTAGAGGACAGTGTATATGGGGACACCCACCAGCCCAGCACAACTCTGCACCCCACTCCCACCCAACACCCAGGGCCTGGGCTGGCAGCTGCCCCAGCATGACAAACATTTTATCTAGGCTTTAGCTTTGTGAATTCAATCAAGCATGTCACAGACTATGGTGCTCCAAGAAGCTCCAGATTTCGAAGGACAGAATGTGTGTCTCTCTGGTTTTGTTTTTTTGAGACTATGTTGTTCAGACTGCTCTGGAACTCACAGTGTAGTCCAGGCTGGTCTCAAATTTAAGCGATCCTCCTGCCTCAGCCTCCCAAGTGCTGGGATTACAGGCATGCGCCACCACGCCTGGTTAGAATGTGTTTTAAAAGTTGAATTTATTAAAGCTAAATGAGGGGCCGGGGATTTAGTTCAGTGATGCTGCCACCTGCCTCACAAGCGCAAGGTCCTGAGTTCGATCCCCAATACCCCCCCAAAAAAGTTAAATGAAACACAGCCATCTGTCCTCAGACTTCTAGGCTGCCATGGCTGGGACCTGGACTAGAATTATCACACCTAAGCCCTGCCACTGCCAAAGAGGCCAAAGACCTCTCTGTTTTTTCATTTTTATTTTTTTGTTTTTGTTTTTCTTGAGACAGGGTCCTGCTTTGCAGTTCAGGCTAGCTTGAACTCACAGCAATCCTCCTGCCTCAGCCTCCTGAGTGCTGGGATCACAGGTGCGTGCCACCAGGCCGGGCCTAAGGCCCCATCTGCCAGTCACCATGAGAGGGGGTGCTCTGCCTTGGGGGTGGGTTGGAGGGCTGGGGAGACTTGTGTACTGTGGTCACCTGTCCCATTGCCTGCTGTGGGGTGGCCTTGCCCCAGCCCCAGTGGTCTGCAATGCAACCATGGCCCTGTGTGGAAACTGTGTTCTGACTGCCAGGAGCACAGTGCCTCTGCTGTCTCCTGGGAAACATCCACGCGTCTGAGTGTCACACAGGGCAGGACAGCGTCTATGATTGTGGTGCTGCATGCCATGCAGGGGTGTGGGCTGTCCTGGCTTCCCGAGACCCTCCTGCCAACCAGTACATGCCCACGTGAGGCCCTGTGCCCGCCTCACCTTCACCTTCTGTTGGTGGTGGAGGATCTGCCAGGCGATCTGTACGTGTACTGCACACCACTTCCCTGGCTTCTGTAGTGGGACAAGGAGAGCTCAGAGGGCCCCGTCACAGGCGCCCAGGCCATTGGGGCCATGTGGTCCACCCACGCCCACACTCACCCTGGCTGCCGCCCGGTACGGGTCAGTAACCTGTGGGGACAGAGCAGATGGCAGTCATGGCAAGGCTGGCATCCAGACTGATCTGCCAACAGGAGGGAGCAAGCGGATGCTGACACCTACCCCAGGGGCTTTCTGCAGGAGGGCGTGGACCGCACTGGCTCGGCCTGGGACCTGGATCGGGTTTGCAGTCTGGGGCAGGGTGGAGGGAGGAGCGTGTGACCACCAAGAGGAGGCCCTGCCTGGGCAACTACCACACTGCCACCCAGGGTCTGCACCAAGGGAAGGAGCCAAGAAATAGGGCGCCCATGCAGAACCACCTGTGCCCAGTCAGGCCCACGCTGAGGGGGGAGGAGCTGCCATGTGGACTGCAGAGGGCACGAAGCAGAGGCCATGGCTGGGTCCCTGAACTCCCTGCCTAGTTCCCTGGCTCTTTTGGCTCCTTCCCTCCTGTGCAAAGCATGGCTGCTTGCTCCGCACCCAACATCTTGTGTGTATGTGTGAGACTGGGGCCCTTTGAGGTCCCAGGGTGGACACTGGTGTCCCCTCCCCAGTGATCAGTCTCACCAGACAGGTAGAGACCTGGTGACACCTGCCTGCCCAAGGGATGGGCCAGAGCATCCTGGGCAGAGATGGATGATAATCTCCTGCTGTGTAGATGGCCATGCTGAATGCCTTCTACAATGGGGCTGAAGCCCATAAGGCAGTGGACACATGCAGGAAGCTCCTCTCTGCGGGCCACTGCCCCTTGCCAGGGACACGCTGCTCCAGAACCTGTGCTCCTTTGACCCCTGCCCTGACCCCAAAACCCTCTGGCCCAGCATGGCTGATACCTTGGGCTGGAAAGCGCCCTGCAGGGACCCAAAGGGGCTGGCGTGTGTAAGCAGTGTGGGCAGCCCCGGGACAGCAGAGGGTAAGGGTGGGAAGAGCTGCAAGAGAAAGAGAGGGTGCTCGTCCTTGGAGGCCCTGGGGTGCCCATTCCCCATGGGCCTGTACACAGAGACTCACGTTGGAATGTCGGAAGTAGGAGCTGTCCAGCTTAGGCGAGAACTTGTCAAACTGCAAGGGAAGGAAGAAAGGTGAGGCATCCCACACATGCCCTACTGGCCAGATAGGCAGTGGCTATGATCTTGTGTGCCTCCCAGGATGTGTGGTCCGCAGTGGCTGAGTCCAGGCTCCTGGAGTGCTCACTGCAGCCCCAGAGAAGGCATGAAGCCCTGGTCAGGGGCAGAGAGTAGGCCCAGGCACTGACTATCTGAGGCTCTGGGCCCATGCCACAGCTGCTCCTGAGATAGGGGATGTGGGAGCAACCTTGGGGCCTTAGTCCTGTTCAGCCCTGCCGACCTGGCATCCAGCCACAGCCAGATGCTGAGGACTAGTGTGGGTGTGGTTCCTAGGGCAGGTCTCACACACACATGGACAGCCGGGACCTCAGACGTGACTCAGAGGACGGTCCCTTGGGCCCACACAGGCCCGAGGCTGAGCAGGGACTATCCAGATAGGCAGACAGAGGGAGGTGCCCACTGCCCACCACGTGTGTGTGTGTGCACAGTGTATGCCTGCATGCGTCTCCACCCTGCCTGCCCCCCACCAACACGCGGGCCTACGCACCAGTGGGGGTGCGGCGGGCGGCATGAGCTGTGTCGGGGGCAGCCCCGGGAAGGGGGCGAACGTGTGTTGGTGCTGGTGTGTGTGCTGGTGTGTGTGCTGGTGTGTGTGCTGGTGGAACTCGGCCCGGAGCAAGGCCCCCGGGCCCAAGGGGGCGCCTGGCCGCTCCACACTCTGCACCAGAAACCGCGTGTTCAGCTCTTGCCTGAGCAGCTCTTGATCTGTGAGAGAAAAGAGAGAGAGACAGAGAGGCATGTCGGCCATGGGCTCCCGCGGGGCAAGGCGGATAGTCACCTGGCACACTCTGCTTCGGAGGGCCAGGCTGCAGGGGCCGCTCGCCCAGTGCTGGCCAGGGGGGTGGAGGGAAGAGAGGAGCCTGTGACAAGTACCAATCAGAATCCCCGAGTGAGGCTGGCAATACATGATTGGCTGGCTGAGGGAGAGCAACAGGCTGGCATCTGGAGGTGAGAGAGAAGCCATGAGCCCACTGCCTGCCCCCATCCCCAGTGCCCGTCCCACAGGACGGCTGACTCTACTCCACAAAGCCTCTAGAGAAGGCCCAAGGGCGAACCCTTGGGGCAGGGTCCAGCAGGGCAGCTGGGGGAGCAGGGGCAGGCAGGCTCCATCACCTGGACCATCTATACCCCAACACAGTGTCACAGAAGGGGCCGGGGCTCCAGGGAGGGTATCTTCAGGACCACACACAACCAGGGCCAGCCGAGTCCCCTGTCACCTACCTGCGGGGTGTCCTGGGATCACCAGGCTGCTGGGCAGCGCCGGGGCCGGGGGCAGTGTGGGTGCGGCAAACATGGCCGCAGGGTGCTGGTGCACCTGGGCCCGGAGAGCCAGGTGTGAGGTAGAGAGGTGGCCTGGCCCCAGCTGTGACAGCGACCCGTGTTTCCCCAGGCCCAGTGGGGTGCCGCTGCCCACGCTGCTGTTCCTGTTGGGGACACAGGGCTCAGTGCCAACAGCAGCCAAGGTTCCTGTCCCCACTCTCTGACCATCTGATGCCACCAAGATGAGCCCACAGCCCTGCACTGTCCTCCCCAGGTCAATTCACAACCACATCCCAGGACAGCTTTGCTCCTGTAGGTAGCCGCAGTCCAGGAGGTGGAGGCCCCAACCCAGGCTGGTGCTGCCCCACCCCTGGCCACATCCAAACATGCAGATGCCCCATCTGGCACACCTGAGGCCCGGCAGGTGCAGGCCCGAGGGTGCCGCCTGGCTGGGGCCTGTGAAGGTGCCCAGGGGCGCAGTCTCATGCGTGGGCAGTGGGCCGCGGTGCTGTGGGGGTGTGGACGGCGTGGTGTGGTGGAGTACCGCCTCTGTCTTCAGCAGCAGGCTGCTGTGGGCTCCGGGCGGTGCCGTGGGCAGGGAGGCAGTGGGCAGGAAGGGCTCGGTACTGAGCTCACGGCTGCGCTCCAGGCCTGACACCTTGGGTACCACCCCGGTCCTAGCCTCAGACTTTTCGACCTGCACTAGACCTGTGGAGAGAGGGTAGGCATGGGCCAGGATGTTGGTGACCCCAGGTACCACCTTACCTCCTCCACCTCAAGGGTCAGGCCTGCTCATACTCAGGCTGCCCCGCCCAGATGGGCAAGCAGGTGCAGAGGTCACAGGCAGGGCCTCTGTGGTGCTCTCCCATCCAGCTTATCGATCCCTGGACTAGCACCTGACACAGGTGGAGTTTCCAGTCCCCCAGGGCTCCACCCCAGACCCCTGCTCCCCACTCTGCTCCTCCCTCAGTTGCACTTTCTTGTGCCACCGTCTCCTAGAGCTCTGATGGTTGGTGGTTGGAGGAGGCTGCTCCCCCACTGCCCTGCTCCCCATCTCCCCAGGATTCTGCTGTCCCCATGTGGCCAGGAGCTAGCCATACCATGCTCACCTGTATCAGCTGCTGGGGCAAAGAGCTGCTCTGAGCCCACGGATGCCTGAGGAGAGAGAAGAGGTTCAGGGGCCAGGGCTGGGGTGAGCTGGGCCCTCAAAGCCCTCTCCCCATCCACAAGTCCATGGTCGGGCAGAGTCCTGTGTGGGTCTCTTCACCGGCCAGGGCACAGAGCAGGCAGGGGGGTCAGCTGTCAGCTAGGGCACAGGAGCCACCTGGCAGAACGAGGCATGGATTCACACCGAAGTACAGCGAGACTCCACACCGCAGTCTGGCAGGGCATGGTCTGGGGCCCAGCATCTGGGAAGGTGACCGTTGTGAGGGTGAGCCCACCACGTGACAGAGCTGAGACAGAAATGTTTTCATGACATCTGGAGAAACACACTGTGTGCGTGCACCGGTGTCTATGGAGTGTTCCCCATGCTGCAGCAGCTCTGGAGAACAAGCTCAGTGGCAGTGGCCCCAGAGGGATCTTTTCCCAGTCTATTTTCCTTTCTGTCAAGAGGCTTTACTGAGGCATGGACTGCATGTGCTCCTTAAAAATCTACCCAGAAGGCCCCACTCCTGAGGTAATGGTGCTGGGCCCTGGGAGGTGGGGAGGTTGAGCCCAGAGGCCTGGTGAATGGGATCGGTGTCCTTCATGGGTCCTGGAGTTCACCACCCACACCATGGACACAGTGAGAAGTAGTCCTCACCAGACACCAGCTCTGTGGAGCCTCAGCCTTCTGCCTACACTGCAGACAGTGAGAACAAGCCGCTGCCTATCGCCAGCACTTTGTCACTGCAGCCCAAGAGAGTGAGCCAAGACCCAGAGACGCGGCTGCCATACCATGGGCCACCACCCATGCACAAAACTGACCAGAGACTTAGGGCCTTGCAGAGCAGCACACCACCCATCGCCCCAGGCTGTCCAGCTCTCATCCCCAGGCCCAGGGACTAGGCCTCGTGCGGACGGCTCTGCTACTGAGCTCTGCCCCATGGCAGGGAGCCTCCTGGACAGACTGAAGGACACTGCTGGATGCCTGTGGGTGGATGTGCAACGTCTGCACATAGGTCTGCAGGTGTGTGGACACTCGCATTTATACATGTGCTTATGCATTTTCATACACCCAGGGCCACATGCCTGCGTGTGTATATACAGGAGACTGTGTGTGATAATGTGCATGCGTGTATGTGGCTGTGTGCAGGACACTCAGGTACACAAAGTGCACATCTGTGCATGTACCTGCGTCTGTCAGCAAACCTTAGGGAGAGTGTGGAGGATGTGGGCCACACTTCTGCCTCAGGGATGGGGTGAGTGCAAGGGGCAGATGGGACTGGGGCCTCAGACTCAGCTTCCCCTCTCCTAAGTCTTTCACAGTATGTGATTAAACCATGATAATAAGGGCAGTACACAGCTGGAGTGGAACTGCGAGCTCTGCCCTGGACACAGGGGTGAGGGGCATGAGGGATGTAAGAGACGGTCCTTGACCGGTTCAGAGGGCCTGGAGACCAGGAAGGGCACCTCGCCCAGGAGCTGCACATGAAGATGCATGTCAGCCATGCTGCCAATCCCACCCCAGTCCGGCAGGACGGCTCTCCATACCCAAGGCAGGCCTGGCAGGGACAGCAGTGGAGCAGGGCCTCTGGCCTCTGACATCTACCAACAGGCAGAGCAGGCTGGCCAGTGGCACCTTGGGCCACCGTGGAATGGCCGGGAGGGGCTGTAGACACATATAGCACACTGGCTCATTCAGGAAGCTGGGCCCCACTCAGCGGTGTCATAGGCCACTACCATACCTGCGGCACCCAGCGAGGAGGCAGAGTGAGGTGGTGTGTGGAGGGAGTATACAGCCACCCCGCAACAGGGGCATTGCACAACCCGGGAGCAACATTGTGGAAAGCAATGAGAGACAGATACCAGGTTCCAGCAGGAAAGGCAAGCAGAGCAGAAAGGAGGCTCCAAAGTACACCTGGGTCCAGGCAAGGCCTCAGCATGAGGCATGCACAGAGGTGTGTATGTGTAGGTGTCCAGTCCATGGCATGGGAAGCAGCTTTATGCTCAGGGAAAGGTTAAGCGAGCTAGGTGATGTGGCCCCTGCCTGCAGTCCCACTTACTTGGGAGGCTGAGGCAGAAGGACCTCAGGTTTGAGGCCAGGCTTGACAACCTAGCCAGACCCTGTCTCAAAATAAAAAGAAGGGCTGGGATGTACCTCAGTGGTATAGCACCTGTGGGTTCTACCCTTAGTACTACATACAGAAAAAGGGAAGTGGGAATCCCAGTTCACCCCCGACATCAACCATCCAGACGGGACACAGACACACAGGAAGAACCTTGCAGTGTGACCAGATGCTGTACCGCCTGCTAGACAGGCCCTGCACAGCCACCGGGGAAAGGCCTGTTTTCTGCTTTCTGCCTACAAGATTGCTACACACTGTGCAAGCTGCCTGTGCTCAGGACCCCAGCACCCTTGGCACCCCCAGCACAGGTCCCTGGCTTACAGCCTTCCCTGTAGGCTCTTGTGGGTGAGGGGTCTGCCTGGCCAGGATATGTGGACAGGGGCTGCAGCTCACCCTCCAGCTCTGAACTCAGGGTGTTCAATCTCTGTGTCAGGGAGGGGCTTCTGCTTCAGAGCAGCTTGGCTCCTGGCCCTTTCAGGGGTCCCAGTTAGTGCCCCCACGGCCCAGCAGTCCCTGAGTCAGGTCACACACAGGTGAGGGTGTCCACGTGACACCCTAAGGCAGGGATGCCAGGATGGCTGTCCCAGGGCACCCTAAAGCCTCAGAGGCTGACCTTCCCTGTGGGCCTGGAGACCTGTGGTCCTTCTTGGGGACAAGGCTGAGTACCTGAGTGTCAGCTCCTGTCCTCTCGGGAACCCCTGGGCTTGTTTTATCTCTTACATCCTTAGAATAACCAAGTCAGAGCAGCTGCCCCCACTAAGAACCTCCCAGGGCCAGGACTGCTCCTGCCTACACAGACTCTGGGTGGCCCGGCCCCACCCCAGGGATCCTACACTCAGGACTGTCATGGTTCCCACTGGGGCCCTGACCCACCCCTCCTGGACAGGAGGGTGCCCATCCCTTCCTCTTTCCAGCTGCCTCCTCCTCCATGGCTGGGCAGCAGCCCTGGGAGGGCAGGAGGACACAGAGCCCTGGGGCCAGATGGAGCCCTGCCAATGGCCTGTGGAGTGGCAGCTGCACCTGCTAAGGAGCAGGCATGTGATGGTCTCCCTATCTCCACCACTGCCAGAAATTCTGTGCTAACTGCACAAGCCCTCAAGTCCCAGCACCACACAGCTGTCCCACTCCCGTCACAGAGGAAGTGGAAGAGCAGCGTGAGGCCAGAGGAGAAGAGCAGGGGGACAGCGGTGGCCAGGTGCAGGGGGGCTGGGGACTCGAGGACCCGCACCCCCTCCAAGACCCACACAGGGGATCCAAGCTCAACTTCTCAGGTGGAGCAGTGGGTGGGCAGGACCCGCAGATGGCGCCCCTGACTCTAGGGAGGCCAAAGGGGGAGGAAGGAAAGGGGCACAGGCACAACAGCACAGGTCGTGGCACTGGTAGGGTCCCCCACCCC